TTTAAAAAACTGGAAATGGAAAATAAACGGATAAGGTTAAGTCATTGACTGAAATAAAAGTACGGCGGCAAAAATTGGAAGTGTGAACTCTGCAGGGCATAGTGGATACCCCGTTTTATCATCCTTTCTGAGTTGGGCCCTCAAAACCAAAAATTTTTTATATTAAAAAGAAATTTGGAAAAAAAATAACGCATAAAACCAACAAAAACTCGGCTGAACAACGCAAGTCATACAGACCGGAATTTCTATATTCATCGAGACACCTGTACACTTTTGCTTAGGTCTTTAATCGTATGTGAGAACTTTTGAGACTCTGATACTGAAAGTATCCAGAGATAGATACTTGAAACTTGGAATTTATGCTGGTCTGTGCCAGCGTTAGGTATTACGTCCACTTAGATCGATAAAGAAACATATCTTTTAAAATTTTAAAGCTCAAATTGGTTGGTAGGTTGTTGGCGAATACCTTCAAAGATCGGCACATGCAACGCACATCTCCGTCGACCGAGACCCTCGCCCCTAAAAATCAAAAACAAAATTTGGTAGGTGTATTACTGGTAGTCGCCTTTATTAATTGATAATACATTTTATGGCCACACACTCACACATGCGCGCATAAGCGCAAAAGCCAATATTTATGAAAGTGTAAATCAATAAAACCCAATATCTTTCATAATTTACACAGATAAAGACAAATTTTCGGACCACGCTACACCCGCCGTCTTCAGGAACTTTAAGCCTAGAAATCTGAAATGAACATATCTTTCAGAATTTGTAAGCAAGATTCACCAAATTTTTAAAGTATGTTACTGATAACTCCGCTAAGAGATAAAAAAAAAATTGGATAGCCACACACACTCAGCCTCCCAAAGCTGATGCTCCTGATGGCTTAAATCGATTAAGCCATATATCGTCCACAATTTGAAAGCTGGAGTATCCGTAGATGAAAAGTATGTTGCGAGATTTTATTGTTAAGATTTTGGCCTAGGCCCACTTCTCTCCCGCAATTTAAGAGCTACAGTTACCAGACGTGGAAATCAGATTACTAGGAGCCTTCTCTAATATTTCTCAATCATTTTTTTGTAAATTGAAAATCCAATATCTCCCTAAATTTTAAAAGCAAACTTGGAGGGTAGATTACTGGGAACTTCCATCAAAGATCGGTATTTCATGGCTTCACCCACCCGACCCCTGTTAACGTATGGTATTGGAGTACTTAAAGGTATTGGTATCAGAGTATTTAAAGTCGGTTAAGCCCGACTGCAAAATTCTATCTTGTTGAGCCTAACAGATACGAAATTGAATTCATTCCCTTGCTTGCGCATGGTTATATCACCACACACAATTATTGGTCTGTATGGTCAGATGTTGATTTCATATTTAGATTTCATATATTTTATTTGCAATCACAATTAAGTACTCGAGTCAAAGTTAAATCAAAGGTCACTAAACCAGTTAACGTATGCCCGAATACATATAAAAATATTATAAGATATTAAAAATGTTAATGGTCCACGATTAGGCATATTTTAAAATCAAATCTCAATACACCACTATTCGAGGCGTCTCTATTTGTTGTCACGTCAATCGCATAAAAATAATATAACGCATTTGATGTCACCACTTACCATTAAAAAGGCGTTCGCCCAAAATATTGGCATACAAAATCAATAAAAATATTTGTATCGCATAGGAGTAATACGTGGCGACTAAGACTGAAATCACATGCGACTGACAGATTCATGAATATTACCGGTTTTATCATGTTTTTTTTTTTTTAACCGTGTTTCTAATAAATGGCCAAATGCGTGTATTCAGTATTTTGGTCTGAACAACTAATTTTTTTGTCTTCATCTGAGCTCACTTTCTTCCTCATCATTTATTTTAATTCAGCTGTGAATTTTGGCTTGCTTACAGGGTAACTATCAGTCAGATACTCTAAACTCTAGATTCTACCCTTTGTAGGTAAGTGGCTTGTAAGTCATATATGTTTGCAACGGTAGCACATAAATCTGCAAATGTGATAAATGGCTATAATGCGTAGCTTAATGTTTATGAAAAATAATGATGATGAGCAGCATGCTCAGCTGCGGAGGTCCTCGACTGTCCGTGACTCCTCATTGAGGGGGTTCATATGCAAAATTTACCGTGCACATTAGCCGAAATTGTCAAATGTCGCTTGCTCGTTGAAGCTTTTATTTTATTTCTTTTTTTTTGTGGGTCAGGTAGGGGAGCTTGCCAGCTTACCAACTGCTGCCTTTCAGCTGTCAATTATTCATAAATTGCGCATACGTCTGCGCTCATTACGCATATGCCCCGAGTGTGCTCTCCAATTGCTTTAATTTTGCATGATATGCATATACATATATGTCAGTGGGTATCTGTATATCAGATATGATATTAATTTGATTTACACAGCGCCACGTGGCACTTGTCCTTTTCGCCTTTTATATTTGCCTGGGCTTTGGCTCTGCCATTAGCATAATTTTGCATAATTTAAGGTACGCCTGTCCCGAATTCAAACTTGCGCCTTTTTTTGTTCTTCAAAAAAACATCCTCTAACTTCCTATAATTTCTGTCAAATGTTACATAAATGCCGACGCTACTGAATAAGTTACTCACGAAATCGAAAAAGTTTTTTCTGGTTTCTCGGGATTTGTTTGACTTGCTTACACTTATTACTGTTGTGGCTGTTGTTATTACTGCTGCTTCTGTTGGTATGTGGTACACAATTCAGTGTAGCTTTTCATGTATTTGGTGAGTTTGCACAGTTTTTTGTCTTAGATGAATATAAATGGACAAATTTTGAACGAGACTAGCCAAAGTTGTTACAATTTAAATACATTATGAATGCTTTCATTTGCTTTTAAATGGAAAATAAATGCAGCACTTTAATTTATGAATCAATTGCAAAAGCAGGTGCCCAGCAAACAGTTTCAAATACACAAATATTTTATTTGACAACAGTCAATACTATTGATATATTATTCGTTAAAGTCGTTAATAATTGATTTAACAACTTCCTTTTAGTTGTTCAATTATATTATTTTTTGACCAAGACTACGCAAACTTATTAAAATTTATATTGACTTTTGAATAGCAAAAAAAAAAAAAAAAACGAATCACTTTAATTTCGAAATCAATATCCTCAACAAATAGTTCTTGGGATAATTAGAACTTTTTCTTTTATATCTAATAGAATTAGTACAAGTTTTAGTCAATGTTCAAAAATTTATATTTCAACTGTGTGCCAAAACTTAAATACATGAATCCAGCTGGGTAAAAGTTACTCACTCGACATCTAATTTGGCAAATCGAACGGGATTTTCTATCTAAAGAATTGGTTCTTTGACGGTGTTTAGACAAAAGATCAAATAAAAACAAACGAGCTGTAGATGGAATCAAGCCTTGAATGTCTGCAAATACAATATATATATATATATATATATATATATATATATATATATATATATATATATATATATAACACACAGAGATTCATTTCAAAAACAACAAAAAAAGGAAAGACGCCATTAATACATATACAAATACATAAAATAAGTACTTTTGCCTTATTTATTTGATGTAACCGCCAAATCTGGAGCAATACAATTTTTATTTTTATGTGGCCTTTGCTTTCTAATGCGTGCAGTGTTCAGGGTTATCCTCAGCTGTGCTTTCCGACAGGCTAAATACACAACAGCATGAGTAATGACAACTTTATCGCTCATCTGTTTGGATTGTGTCCATTTGAGCTAGACGTGCGTGGAGAAGGAGACGGGGTTGGGAGCGGCATTTGTCAGCGCTTTTGTTCAATAAACATATTTGATTGTATTATTTTTTTCCTGTTCACACGGCCAATATTTGTTCTGTTTGCCTCTTGTCAACGGATATGGATATTGTGTCGCTTGTTGATACTCCGCTTGTCTAATAAATTAAAATTTTATGCAAATATTTTGTTGGGAAGTAACGAATAGTAATCAGGACATGTCTTCGCAGTAACTGCTCATGGCTTATGAATATTGTCCCGGGCACTTGGCATCTATTATGCAGGACAGCACTCAAAGTTCGACCCAACCATAAACATGAGTCAATGCTGCCATTAACAGTTACAAATGCTTACAGCGTGAGGGTCGCCATTTTTAAAGAGATCAGCCTGACGTGTCTGCTTTTTACAGTCTATTTACTTATCCCTTATCCCAAATGTTCTTGTTGAAATATACATCTTTATACATAAGAAACAAAATGCATTCATTGTATTATTCAAAAATGCTTAATGCTTATCAAATTTGTAACAAGAATGTCTTATAATATTATAAAGTATTGCATGCATTTACCAATCAAATGTAACGTAAGGAATATTGGTATACATATCAAATTCTTGCTACGTTCAAACATTTTTTTTTTAGCAACACACAGTAATCAGGCCATGCATATTTGTAATTATTAATCTTTTTACCTATGCTAAAAGTTTTTCTTTAACTCATTTTTTTACAATTATTAAGAGTATTGAGTATAGTTGGATACTAGCCTTATTGTTTCCTTTGGTGAAACCATGTGCTCATTATTACTTTTATTATTATTATCAATAATTATTATTATCATGATGATTATGATTATGTTTATTATTATTATTAATAATATTATTATTATTATTATTATTAGTATTATTATTATTATTATTATTATTATTATTATTATTATTATTATTATTATTATTATTATTATTATTATTATTATTATTATTATTATTATTATTATTATTATTATTATTATTATTATTATTATTATTATTATTATTATTATTATTATTATTATTATTATTATTATTATTATTATTATTATTATTATTATTATTATTATTATTATTATTATTAATATTATTATTATTATTATTATTTAATTTGTGAGTCACTGTCTGGAAGCGAGCTTGGATCCTTAGTGAAACAATTTTCAAATTCATATTGTTAAAGCTTTATATTTGTAAAATCAACACTTCACAAAAGAAGACAAAAGAAACAATTCAGTTGTTAACTTTACCTTTGGGGTTTCCTTCACAATTTGTAGTCAAAATGTATTAGGAATATTTTGTATGTATATATTCTTTGAAAAGTCAGAAGACCACAAATAAATTTTTTCTTTTTAATTTTATCACATTAAAAATTTTCTGTATATGAGCTCTATGCAGGCCCATCATGCGATGCCTGATTTCCGGTGCCGGAATAACTGTCAACACAAGGAGTGCCAGCGCCATGCACCACTTGGAATCATTGATCAGCACACCCAATGCAAGTGTCTGGGCGAGGTGAATGCCTCATCGATATTCCTGGAAAACGTACTGGACTTAGCTAATACATTAGCACAGATTATGATTATATGCGGATTGCACGAGTGCAAGGCCAAGTCAACCGTCGACATTATAACGTATGCCTTTCTGCACTATGATCAGGTATGTTACTGCATCGATACGGTCCCCAAGAAACGACTTCGCAAAGAGGATCTCTTCCACGAGCTGGGCAAGAAGTCCCTGATGAACAAGGTGGAGGCACATCTGGCCTACAACATCATCAAGCGCGGCTTCAAAGCCTTCTACTATGAGCCGAATCAGGAGCTAACCTACGACGACCAGGGCAGACCCAGCTACAACGATGAGTGCGTCTGGGTACATGCCGCACGCAAGAGTGCCGAGAGTTATGCACGCTTCGACGGCCTCTCCTGCAACGAGCAGTTGGCCTACGAGGCGAAAATCAAGATTGCCTACAAGAAGTTCTACGATCGTATGCAGACACGCAAGCGGCAGCCAGAGGGTGATGATTGCAACTGTTGTTTCTGTGCCAAGAAGCGGGGACATCTTGTCTACGCCAAGGAGCCGGTGCCTTGCAGTACCAAGCGCAAGCCGAAGCATGTGTGCCCTTACTGCTGCAAGAAGAAGCAGAAGCAGCAGTATACGCATCCCGCCCGCCAGCTCGGCAAGTGCCCCAAGTGCCACAAGTTACGCAAGTTCTGCTGCTGCACCAAGATGGACTTCAATTTGCAATGGGTGAAGAGTATCTGGGATCGCCCCGATTTCAATCAGTATTATAAGAACGAAATTTCCGAGATCGAGCAGCGTCTTATAAAGGGAGCATGCTGGCTGCCGCCAGAGCCGATTGCCGCGGACTTTGCCGAAGAAGAGGGCGAGGAGGAGGGCGAATATTCGCCCGAAGCCCAATTGGCTCTAGGTGGCAGGAGCGTAGGAAAACCACCCAAAGATGACGAAAAAGAAGAGGAAGCGCCGGCACCCTCGATTGGTACCGAAAATACTGCTGAATCTGCGGCCGAAGCAAAGGATGGGGAGGAATAAATTTTCAATGCTTAATAATGAACTATTTTAGGCATAAATCAAAATTACCTAAACTTATAAAAATAAATCTAAATGCAGTTGTTGACTCATAAAATGGGCTTTTAAATTTAGAATATAAGTTCTCGTATATTTTATCGATAACTGCCACATTTAAGAATGTCGATACATGTCGATAATTGATATATATATACTATATATTTATTTATTTTTATTTAAAGTATGAATAAATTTGTTGCGAGTGTAAATATATATGTGTGTGAGTACACATATGTATGTATGTATAAGTTAAGAACTATTATTACAAATCGCCTATGCACTCAAACCAATGATCAATGCCAAAGGTATATCAAACGGCATATGACATGCGCGCCTTGTCAGCATATTTCACCAAAGCTGGACTCCGTTGAAAATACCCAAAGTCAACTATCGTCTTGTCAGCATATTTCACCAACGCTGAACTCTGTCGGATATCCAAAACCAATCACAAATCCACATCACCAATCCAAAACCGATCACAGCCAAGTCGCATGAAGACAGACGACACGCGCGCCTTGTCAATATATTCCAGACGCCGGCAGAGCTAGCAGTCAAAGGCTTAATTATTATTAGCTTAAGTTTATAAAAATCAGTTCGCATTAAGTTCTCTCAGAAAAAGATCAGGTTTTTTTTATACCTCGAACCCATTAAAAATGGGTAAAAAGGGTATAATGGTTTTGTGCAAATGTATGTAACAGAAGGAAGGCAGAAGGACGCATCTCCGACGTAAAGTGTATATTCTTGATCAGGGTCAACAGTCGAGTCGATATATCCATCTCCGTCTGTCCGTCTGTATATTCTGCAGACCCACGTTACCCCGCTACGATTGCGTGTACGTATGTATGTACGTAAATGTATGTATTCATGTATATGCACGTGTTCGTTGCCAGTCAGCTAGGATCAGTTCGGGCTTGTGAATAAAAACATGCGCTGCTCGTTTTTTTTACTCTTCAGTGCCTGAGCTTGCTATAAGAAATGAGCTCACTTGCAGACCTGCTCACATTTGGACGCAAAACTTATTATAGGGAAATTTGCCAATAGTTTAAGCAATCAGGGTAAATCGCAGTTGAGCTCACTCGACTATAGCACTCTTACTTGTTTTTTTTTTATTAAAAGCCGTAAGCAGACAAGTCTGCATTGTGTTGTAAACCAAAGATTTGTCTTAAGAGCATGCGATGCCATTGTTTTTTTCAGTTACTGTGCTAAACAGTAAAAATGGGAGTAATTCCACGCATGCTGACATTGTTTTCTGTTAAGTCGAAAAAGGGCGAGAGGCCATTCAGGTATATTTTAGATTTATTTAAATCGAAAAATTTCTTAAAGCAGCAACTACTTATATAATCAGATATTATGTAGGCTGCCAACAATTTTAGTTTGACCTAATTAAGTGAAATAAGTTAAATAAGTTCCCCAAAATTGTTATACAGCTAGTGTTACATTTAAAATTGCTTCTACGAGAAGGCACTTTTTCCACTTAAAGACTTCTTTCATCTTATATCTTTTAAAAATAAGCTACCCCAAGAATATTATGTAACTAGACATACAAAATGGCCTTTTCTAGGAAAAGGAAACTTATTTGGCTAATAAGCAAAACACAGTCCCTCGCTCCTTGCTCTTGAAGGTCTCCTTGAAAAGCATGCAATTGTAATTCCAAACCCATTTGTTGCCACATATGTGTGTATGTGTGTATGAATATAAGTAGTGCGGTTATTATGGCATAATACGTGTGGGTCTGTTCAACTATGTGCGTTTCGCTCTTAGACTTCATCACAACCGCAAAATGCAACTCGAGTGCCTTCAACACTTATTCTTGCCTCGTACACACAACAATTCCCCTGTGGCCTTGCGCTGAGCACCAGAACCTACTGCACTTGCATCTATCCGTTGCACTCATTTAACTCGAGAACACATTTCAAATCCACAACACTCCTGTCCTAGTTCTAGAATAATTCAGCAGTGAATGTGGTTCGTGTTGAGCGCAGTGCTAAATGTGAACAAATAATTTATGCACAAGTTGTGCAAAAGTAAGCTGATAGACATAAGATGACTTACCAGGTTATAAGAACATTATCTATATCAACAAGAAAGTGGTTGCGAAATTATTTAAATAGAAATTTTTAATGCCAGAGACTGTATTATCAAGAATATTTATTTTCCACTTATGTTGCCCTAAAGTGAATAAGATATTAAAAAGTGTACTGCTTTCGATGCCAATAATGTAAATGTCTATATAAATTTGAACATTAACACTCAGAAATATTTTTAAAAGTAACTAAAGCCCCGCAAAAATACAATTGGCCTAACAAATTTAGAAAGTATTTAAAAATAATTGGAAAAAATCCACAGAGTTCTGTTTTTTCTGACTTTCCCCAATCCTTGTAACAAAGGATGAACCATTTAACATTTTCATACTTCCTTATGTAATATTGTCATTGAATTTTTTTTATTTTAAATTTTAATTTTCTTACTGATTTTTAATTGAATATCATCTCATTTATTAGTTAATTAAACAATTTTTGGTCTAATTGGGTCTTTTCTAGATTTCCCCAATTCTCGCAATAAACATTGGAATATTTTGTATTTAGTATCCCATATTTATTATATATACTTTATTGATTTTTTCTCTCCCATTTTAAATATTCATTTACTTTTATTTATTTATTTTTCATTTCAATTCATCTAATTTGTAACTTTTATTTTTATTTTGACTTTAAATTTTATTTTTTATTTTTTAAAACTCATTTGGAAATTGTAGGCTGTTTAAGTCCATATTAAATAATTAATTAAGATTTAAACAAAATATTCTTTCAAATCGAATAACACATACGAGTATGCATGTCTTAAAGCTTTGTAAGCCAATTCACAGGGTACATCCTAGTCGAGCATTACGACTGTTCCAATTCTATTTCTTTTTCTCAAACTTATGCTACTCGCTTGGGTCGTGGCCTTAAAAGTTTGCCTTGTTTATTTGACTTAGTGGTTTTAGTTGCTCCTTGCCGAGAGTGGGTGACAAGAAAGGCAACTAAAAGTGATATGCACAAATTTTCAATTTTAGTCAAGGCTATGGGCCCAAAAGTTTTGATTTCAGTGTAGCCAACCCAACCAATTGAGTGTCCTTGCACTATAAAAAAAAAACACCTGTCGACTGGTTGGCAACCACAATGGCTGCCAATTTAAATTCACTTTGCGGTTGAGCCTCTATTATCCGGTGCGAATCAGGATTTACACAAAGCAAATGTGCTAATTGATTTCTGTTATGGTATGTCAGAATTGAATTGAAATGTGAACGAGAGAATTGTGGGAAATTAGTTTAGCAAATTGTCTCTCAAAAGTTCAGTATTGTGTTAATTACAATTAGTCGGCATAGCAATATTTATTGCCGGCTTACAATGCAAACGGAAAATTAATATGTGTAATAATTGCTGGAATTAAATAATAACATAAATTTGCGAAAAGAAAGCCGAAGGATTGTTTTAGTTGCATTTTATTATGTAGTCTGAAAATATAATTTAAATTCAAATTAAATTTATTGTATATATGTATATATATATATATATATATATATATCATACCTAATCTGAATGTGAATGTGGATAAACTAATTAACTTTAAAAACTTTTCAAACTAGTTAGCGGATATCCTCAGGTACCCTTTCAAATGTATAACTTGCAAAATTGTTAACCTAAGCTGCAGACACTTAATTAAGATAAAAGTTTGATAAAGTGAGAAATAAGTTCATTTAAGTTAATACCTTCTTGGTATTAACCAAAGGTAGTATTTCACACATATAAATTGCGTTTAAAGTGCATTAAATTGAGTCATGAATATTTACAAACTAAATATTTCATTTCATTTCATTTCATACGTGTTATTTTACCAACGAACACAAGCAATTCATATGAATCCAGTCACAGCTGGAAAATCTATGAGTTACACAACCACAGCACATGATGGCATTTCAACACCACCAGATACATATTGAATTGCATTTAATGCCCGCAGTCAAATTGGATATTCAAAGCCAGAAGCAGTCCACAAAAAGCTCAAGATGCCCGTTCGTTGGCCAAGTGCACAGAAACTCACAAGTGGATTTCGAGTGAATGAAAATGCAAATTCTCTCAGCCAATGAGCATCTACATTTCTAGTTAGAAGTAATGTATTTTTTAGCTAACACGTCTTTGAAAAAACATGACTGGCCGCCAGTCTGCTTACGAATTCTTGCATTCGGAATTGCATTTTTATTTTATTTATATATATTTATAAACTTATATATTTATAAATTTATATATTTATAAATTTATGTATATATATATATATAAATACATATATATGTATAAATGCCTGATAATATGCAAACATATAAATGTGGGTGGTATGCAAAACAAAAGGGCTTTATTGTCAGCATCTAGTGAGATTATTTAAATAAAAATGGCATATATTTTAACATAGCTAAGCATGGATAAAATGGTATAAGTTTATAGTCAAGTAGCAACGATAAATAAGGCCTACAAAAAAATCTCTGGTTCAGCCAATTTATTTTCAGCACGTACGCTAGATAGCTGGATAACTAGATACGAGGCAAAGATTTTATAAATCTAATAGCTGGATTCCACTATGCTCAGCATTTCTTACATTCACATTCCTTACACTTCGCGATTCCATAATGACTCTGTTGTCGTTAATGTGTGATGGCAAAATTACAACTTGATTTAACAGCTGATTAGGCTATTTTTATTATTTGTCTTTGCAAAATGAATAACAAAACATTTAATTAAAATATGAGACAGGCGATAACCAAATTTGAAACAACTAACAACCAAATAAATAAAAACAAAACTTAAGAAAAAACAAAAATATTTAATTTAAATTTAAATTGTATTTTGAAACAGACTGAATTTCACACTCATTAATATTCCAAACTATAAAAACTTGGCTGCAAGTTTAAATTATTTCCATTGTTAAAGAAATGTACAATGTAAATGAACTAATTTTCTAACTAACGTGTTTAAACCAATATAATAGAGAAAAGAGGGTTTAATCGAAAATAGGGTTGACTT